TCTAATGTTCAAATCGGCCAAGTAAGGTCAAGTGAGACACACCATATATTTGATAAAAGTCCTAAATGAAATGTGGGATTTAAAGTGGTTTAAAGGTGATTAGAATAAAGATTAAAGTGTTGAAGTTAATGGAACATGATTGACTTGATTAGAAAAATGATAAACCCTAATAGAGACAAATTTGTCCTCTATTTTGTAAAATTCATAACTGAAGTTATAGGACTCCAAATTGAGTGTGTTTTGTACCAAATTTATGAGAAACACGGTCATGGTTAATACCTATTTTATAATACACTATTTTTTTATTTTTAGCAAACAAAATGTTTTTGAAAGAAAAAAAACTTCTATTACTAATTAAAAAAAGCTAAATTAAATAATTCAAATTATTATTAAAACTTGGTATTCTAACTTGATATCAAGTCTGCTAATATACTTTCAGCTTAAATTTTATTTTATTTTTTCAAAAAATAGTATGGTACTAGGTGAATGACGCATGTTTTATGGTTTTCTACATTACATATAGAAAAACAAGCGTTGGTTAACAAAGCTCAAAAGGATTAGAAGATTTAGACTTCTTATCCCATAAAATTCTAATGAGCATAACTTTGTTCAAAGGCATACTATATCATTCTTTAAGTTGAAGCTTTGACAATCATATGATATAATTTGCTTTATGATACATGAAGAAAAGCTCAAAGTTCATGGTTTTCAATTTGAACTATTTTTCCTTCGCAAAGTATATAACATTTTTATCCCCCAGATATTAGCATCAACAAAAAAAAGTGTCTAAATGAAACATGCATGAATTCCAAAGAAAGGGAATATATACTTGACATTTTAATATAAAAAAAAAATTGGTTACAACTAAACCAAAATACAAACACCAATATAGATACATGCAAAACAGGGATAAACAATTAACCAAGTTAAATTTCTAAGCAAATAGCTCCACCAAAAAATAGTTGAACAACACCGAAAAATAAGATTTGCACAACTTTGATTTCAACACCTCGTATGCTTATTTCTTCTAAGGACTTTTCACAACAGAACATCTTCATCAGTTACAGATTTCCTTTGTCCAGCAAGGTGTCTCCAACTTCAGCATAAAAAAAAATTGTTCGTGTCAGTATATTACATTAATAATATAGAATATAGAAATAATATAAACAATTCACCCAATAAAGTACATAACAATGAACATGAAAGATCAACAAACAACGTTGTCTCTATAGAAGAAGTAGGTAAAATAAATGTAATTAACGTAGATAAAGAGAAAACATTAACGGAGTAGTAGAAAACTTTAAACGCACAAACAATGAGTAATATTTTGCAGAAGAACGACTTGAGAAGATGAAGAAGATAAACAGATAGAAATAGAAGAAATATATGCACATAATCTGATTATGAATGTAAAATATGCAGTAACACATCCTATTTATGCACATAAAAATGATTTTTCACACCTTATAGTAGGAATATCTGGGTAGCCTCTTCCCTGTACAAAGTTAGAATTCAAAATCGTCTCATCGACTTTGCTCTACAATCGACCTACAAAAAAAAGAAGGAAAAATATTACATGTTCATATAATAGAAGAACAACTTGAGAAGATGAAGAAGATAAACAGATAGAGAAGAGAAAAATATGTGCACAAAAGCTGATTACTAAATGAAAAGACCCAACACCACATATTCTATTTATACACGAAATAATTTTGTTTTTTTACAAAATAAATTTTTTATTGCTTGTCTGTTTTTTTTATGCAGCATTAATTGGGCTAACAATTATCTATGCAAAAAGTAGTGGCATATTAATACAACATTAATTGGGCTAACAATTATCTATGCAAAAAGTAGTGGCATATTAATACAGCTGTCTGCCATCAAAAAAAGTTGAAGTATTTTCCCACCTATATCAAGTTTAAAATTCGAATTTTAAAAAAGTAGTAAGATATTAATATAGCTGTCTGTCACGAAAAATGTTGAACTATTTTCCTACCTGTGTCAAGTTTAAAATTCAAAATTTCCCACCTATATCAAGTTTAAAACTCAAATTTTAAAAAATTGGTGGGTTTCCCACCTAATAAAGTTTAAATTTCGAATTGTGCAAATTTACTAAAGGAGGAAAGATTTTAAATGGTTTCTAGTATGAACACAAACTTGAAATTGAAAAAGAGAGCGACGCGTCTAACAAACTTGCCAAAGAATGACATTCCCTTTTAATATATAGATTGCTTTTGTTATTCTTCATATAGTTTTTAAGGAGGAAATGGTTCTGTTTATAGATGGAGGACATAGATGGTTTGTTATTTTCTGCTAATAGTGTCATTCCTCTTATCATTGGTTGCATTGATGTCTCTTTCTGAAGCTTTTTGCTTTTTTGGCTCAATATACATAATAAATTGCGAAGAACTCTAAGGCTTTGTTTGGGAGTTGGTTTTAGGAGGGGAAGGAAAGGGAAGGGAGGGTTTTAGAAAGCCCTTCCCTTGTTTGTGAGTTTAAAAAAAGGAGGGGAAGAGTTTGGAGATTTTTACTAAACCCTCCAAAACCTTCCTTCTTCTTAAAATTAAAGTTCCCCCAATTTGGAGGGTTTGAGGGGAAAAATATTAAAAATTACTTTTCTACCCTTAGCATTAAAATGTTAAAATTACATAATTGTGAATCATTTTTAAATGCGATATTATTAGAAAAGTCTCAAATACCGACAAAATTTATTGACGAAAAATATTTCACAAAAAATAGTGATGAAATTTTTGATGAAAATCATATACGTCAAAAAATTTCCATCAAAACTAAAGACAAAATTAGAGACGGAACCAGATTTTGCCACAATCTCTAACATAAATTTTGTACGGAAAAAAAAAAATTCAGTCAAAATTATTGATAGAATCTAAATTCCGTCGAAACTTTTAACGAAATAATTTTCGTCCAAACTTTTGATGAAACACATTTTCATCGAAAAGTTTCGACGTAAAACAATTACGTCAAAATTTTTTACGGAAAATATTTCCATCGAAATTTTGCGAAAAATATTTCCATAAAAAATTGTGACAAAAGTTATTTCTGTAAAAAAATTTGACGAAATTTTTTTTTTGTTAAAATTCTTTACGCAATCTAAATTTTGCCAAAATATTTCAAAAAAAAAAATATATTCATCGAAATTTTTGACGAAAAATATTTCCATCAAAATTTTTAACAAAACACATTTCTATCGAAAATTGTTGACGAAAAAATTCTTAACAGAATTTAAATTTCACTGAAAGTTTTCGACGAAAATATTATTGTTAAACTTTTTGGCAAAAAAAATTTCTGTCAAATTTTTTAACGAAATACATTTCCATCGAAAATTTTCGACGAAAAATATTTCCGTCAAGTTTTTTGATAAAAAATATTTCCATCAAAATTTTCAACGAAACGCATTTCTGTCAAAAAATTTCGACAGAAAATATTTCCGTAAAAGTTTTTGACGGAAAATATTTTGAAAAAAAATTTTGACGGAAAAAATATTTAGTCAAAATTCTTTACAAAATCTAAATATCGTCGAAAGTTTGAATGAAACATTTCTCTCAAAATTTCTAACAAAACAATTTCTGTCAAAATTTTCATCAGAACACATTTCTATCGAAATTTTGAACGGAATACTTTCCGTCAAAATGTTTGAAAGAATTCTTTTTTCGTTTAAAACATCTGATGGAGGAAATCATTTTCATCAAAACTTTTGATTATTTTTGTAAAAAATTTCATCGGTTGAAAAATTCCGTCGCTTTTCGACGAAAAGTATTCCGACGATTCATCGTTTGCAACGTAGAAATTTCATCGAAAATATAATCTTTTTTGCTGTTGTGAAAAGTAGATAAATAATTTTTTTTAGAAATTTTAAATTTAATTTAATTTAATTTGTAAAGTATAATAATTTTATTAATTCTTAAAAAGGGTAAAATGGTAAAAGTATCTCATTGACCCTCCATATCCTCTCATTCCTTTTTTTTGACTCCCAAATAAGAGAAGGGGATACCCTCCAATTTCCTCCCCTTTCTTCTTCTCCCTCCCCCTTGGATCTCCCTCCTTCCCTTCTCCTCCAAACTCCCAAACAAAGCCTAAGGCTTTGTCACATCCCACATGCTACTCGTGTGGAAGTCCTATAATTTTTTTCTTTTTAAATTGTTTCTATTTCTTCATGTAAGGCATATGTTTTTTGTGGCTCTCAAATTTATTTGCGGGAGTAATGGGGTACAAATAGCTGTGGGGTGACCTATTTTTAAAGCCCATTTTGACAATTTTGTAAGCTAAAAGTTATTTGATAATTGTATAAAATTATTCTCAATGTTTTGAAAGGAGTGAGATGGAATAAATTTTTATTAGATAAATAATAAAATTTATAAAAAAAATTAAAATAAGAGTATAATTGAAAATTTTAACGAAAATTCCAAAAAATTGACATATATTTTAATTTTTTGTCTTGTGAGCTTTTAGTTTTAGTTTTTTTTTCTTCATTATTAGAAAACAAACTTTTTTATGATAAGAGTTCTTATAAAATTATATTTAATTGAACTTATATTTATAAGAAGAAAAGAAATTAAAAATAACAGCTTTACACTCAGATTTTTTCTCATTCTTTAAATTTGATTTTAAAAACTAAAAAATAATTATAATTCTTAGAATTATTTTTACAAAATAGACGTTATCAAATATATTTTTAAATTAAAAAACTATTTTTAAAAACTGAATTCAGCTTAATTTCTTGAAATTGCATGTTGCTTGCTAAGAAGCCATAGAGAAAAACAAGAATTCCCTCCCGTATTGTTATTTTTAAAATTTTTATTAATTTTATGGTAAAAGATATAAATTATCTCAGATCATAAATAAAAACTTACGAGTTTCGTCACTTGAAAAAACAAAAATAAAAAATGGCAAAATTATCAAAAAAATGTACCAGAGAAAAAACTTATCTGACATATCATCTGAATAGTTTTTGAGGAAAATCCCAAAGAACACCTATTCTGATTTCAATTAATTACGTAAAGGACGAGAAGAAAGAAGAGAAAGAAGGAAGAGAAAAGAAAAAACGAGAGAAATAAACGAAAATGGTGTCGGCGAACAAAGAGATGGTTGTGTTCTGCTTCGATACCCTTGTCGCTCACTACAACAGTGAGGAAGCTCCTCCTGCCGCCTTTGATCAGGGTCAACAGTAATCTCTCTCTCTCTCTCTCTAGGCTCTTTTTTTTTTAATAAAAAAATCTTAATAATATAATATATGCTTGTTTCTATAATTGCGAAGAATTCACGGGTTGATAACTGTTTTTAATGAGATGGGTCAATGTTTAATTTTTGTGATCTTGGTGAAAGTTCCTCAATTTTTCTTTTTTATGCATCAATTTGGATTCATGCATGTATTGCACAAATAAGTGATCATGCAATGGGAATTTGGAGAGGATGATTATTTTTCATTTATTTGCTAGTATGAATATGGGAATTTGAAGTGGAGAAAGAAATCTTTGTCTATTTAGTTTTAAGAAAGACAAGTTTTGTCCCTTCGATGAAGTCATAATCTATACTTGAGCACTGTTATATGATATCCATGTTTAAGCTACTATGCTTTGTTTCAGTCCATTGTTTGTTACATGGAAGAAAGTGATAAATGGCGGGGAGCCTCGCCTTCGGGGCTGTATTGGAACTCTAGAAGCACGCTGCTTGATCAATGGTTTCAGAGATTATGCACTGACAAGGTTTGTTGATGTTATAGGGCATCTTTTGTTTTATCAATTTAAATTTCACTTGCTTGCATTTAATTGAACTAACTTTTCTGATCCTAACACTTTTATTAAATCAGTTTATGTCTTACTTGTCCATGTTTTGTGCTTGCAATACCTTGCAGTGCTCTCAGGGACCGAAGATTTCCGCCCATACAGGCTAACGAGCTTCCTTTTTTGGAGTGTACAGTATCTATTCTTACTGATTATGAAACTGCTAACCATTACCTTGATTGGGAGGTATGTTCTGATTTGCTTGTTTAAGTTTCTGGGATATTGCCAGCAGAACGTTACTGTAGACATGTTACTTAAACTGTTGTTGCATTTTGGTATGGAGTTAATTATCTTCATTTACATCTTTTACTGTTCTAGAGGGTGGAAGAAAGAGTGCAGTGTTGGCATGCCCTTTTAAAATTGAACGAAAAAAATGCTTTACGAAAAGTTACATGGTTTTGGATTTGGTGGTAGTTCTTATTTGAAATGCTTTATATAGATAAGATATAGTCTATTATACTATGTTTGAAAAGGATTACTTCAACACAAACTTCAAATAGTTCCGGTGATCTGTTAAATCTAATGAGTTGCTTTCATTATTCTCTTGTTTTTAATTATAAATTACATGTCAGCAGTTTAACCGCTTGAACTAACTTATCAAGTGATTCATTTATAGCTTTAAGTTTACAATGTATGCTAACTCCTGGCATGACAAAGAAACTATTCATGGCAGTGCAGATGAAAATGATGCCTTATGATAAAAAAGCTTATCAGCTCTGCTGTCTAATGCTGATTAATAATTGCAAGTAGACTGTAAAACTATAATTAGGGTATTTCAGATCAGTCATATGAGATTACTAATGTTGACAAACATCTTTCTGGGCCTATTTTGGGATGAATGAGCCATTCAGAAACTGGATAAGGAGAAGCATCTTGGTTTCAGTAGTTTTGCTATGGCTTCCTTTTAAATATGATTTTTGGTGATCTTTTATTTTCAAAGGTAATTTTATTGTGGGTTTTTTTACCCTGTATTGGTGGATTTTATATTACTGTTAGTTAGTATGTATTCAATTTCTAATATTTTTGTGTCTAAGAATTGTTTGTTAGGATTATGAATCTGGTTGTATATAAAATTTGGAAAGAAGGGTTTAGAGTTTTTGTGTTATTATTTGCTGGTCAGGCTGCCCTCGCTTTTTTAACTAAATATTGAATCCTATGATTGTTGCAAAATTCGTACAAAGTTGTTGAACTAAGTTTATACAAAAGTTATCAAAATTCTGTCCACCATATTATAATTTTGATTTCTGGAGCTATAGACCTCCAAATGAAGCAAATCTTATATCAGTTTAAGGCCTTAGATTTTTGCTATGGCTTAGCCCATTAGGTTTTTTAGTCTCTTTAAATAGAGAACTCTTGTTCAGATATTATACAATTCAATAATATACAAATCTTCTTTTCTAGTTGGTATCAGAGTTCTCGATTCTGAGGGCTCTGCTTCCGCAAATCACTGCCTCTAAAACCCAAACCCTTTTGCCTCTCGCCGCCACAAAGCCGTAGCCGGAAAAAAATTTCGGAGACCTTTTGGACCGTGAGGACCCCTGTTTCACTCTGTTTTCTCAGATCTATCATTCTACGGAGGTTTCTTTTTCATCAGATGACTAGAACAACTCAAGAAAAAAAAATGTACTGTTCACGTGACACTGCTCATTGCGCACTGTTCACCGAGTACTGTTCGCGCGACACTGTTCACCGGGTCCTGTTCATCGAAAAAAAAAGAAAAATATTTTATTTTTCTGATCGACTATGTTTGGTAAGATCACACACCCTACATCTCTTCTTACATCTTGCACTGATTTCAAAATTTCATGGATTATGGATTCTGGTGCAACTGATCATATAACATGTCTAGTTGATTCTTTTCTTTCATATCACCCTACTAGTGGTATCCGTACTATAGCTGTAGCTGATGGATCACACAAATAAGTTTGGATTCTGGTAATATTCAAATTCGACCCACCTTATTTTTAAAGAATGTTCTTTATGTTCCTTAGCTCTCTACCAATATTATCTCCTCTTATAAGCTTACAACTGACATGAATTGGGCTGTCTCCTTTTTTCCTACCCATTGTGTTATTCAGGATATCTCCACGGGGAGGACGGTTGGAGTTGCTAAGGAGCAGGGTGGGTTGTACTATTTCATTCCAGAGCATGTTACAAGGGATACCAGAAATCAATTATTGATGAGTCATCACCCGTCTATTTCATTCTCACAGATTTGGCTTCATCACAAACGCTTGGGGCACCCGTCATTTGGCTTATTGAAGTCAATGTTTCCTTCTTTGTTTAAGGATCAGGCAATTGACTCCTTCTATTGTGATGTTTGTGAGCTTGCGAAACACCACAGTATGCCCTTTCCTTCAAGTTCAACAAAGAGCATTGAGCCTTTTACTCTTATCCATTCAGATGTTTGGGGCCCTTTTAAAGTACATAATATTTCAGGTGCTAGGTGGTTTGTTTCTTTTATTGATGATTGCACTCGGGTGACATGGATATTCTTGATGAAAGACAAGTCAGAAGTACCAGAAGTGTTTATTCGATTTTATTAAATGATCGAGACACAGTTCGGTAAAAGTATTAAGCGATTAAGATCTGACAATGGTACGTCAACCAGCGTTTGTCACAATTCGTTTCAGATAAGGGTATGATACATGAGCTCACATGTGGGGATACCCCTCAACAGAATGGGGTTGTTGAAAGAAAAAATCGACATTTGCTTGAAGTTACCAGAGCATTATTGTTTCAGACATCTGTACCTAACTCTTACTAGGGAGAAGCCTTATTAACTGCAGCCTATTTGATCAACCGCCTGCCTTCCAGAGTCCTTGGCCATGTAAGTCCTGTTGATCTCATGACCTCTTTTTTTCCTTCTGTTCCAATTATGCAAAGTCTCTAGTCTCGTATCTTTGGATGTATTGCCTTCGTTCATATCCATAAACAACATTGGAGTACATTAGAGCCTAGAGCCCTTAAGTGTATCTTCCTTGGTTATGCTCCCAACAAGAAAAGATACAAATGTTACCACCCTCCAAGTCGTAAATTCTTTTTCTCTATGGATGTTAGCTTCCATGAATCTGAGTCTTACTTTCTACACCCTCAGCTTCAGGGGGAGAATAGTGTAAAAGCTTCATCCATTTTCTTCGAGTCTGAGTCTCCCTTTCTGTTACCTACATCTTCTACTCTAATAGTTACATTACATGACAATGAGAAGGAAAACTTAATTGCTGAGGTTGAAAATTCATCTGATTCCTCATGTGACATGCCTCCTATTGATAGACAGAAAGTAAGCAAAGCTGGGACACCCGTACTATTGTACTAAAGGAAGAAACAACCCATACTGTCCCACCAGCAACTGCAACTGCCTGAACCGCTGTTAATTACTGAACACACTACTTTTATTCTTGAGCCTGATATTAATTCTGATAACTTACCCATTGTTGTAAGAAAAGGGAAAAGGTCTTGTACCCAACACCCTATTTCTCATTTTGTCTCATCTAAGAATCTTTCTATGCAGCATAGAAGTTTTATTATAGCACTTGACTTCATTTCAATCCCGAAATCAGTACATGAAGCATTAAAGGATGATAATTGGGTTCAAGCCATGCATGAGGAGATGAATGCATTGGAGAAGTATAATACATGGGAAGTTGTTGGCAGGCCAAATGGAAAAAGGACAGTAGGGTGCATATGGGTGTATAGTCCGAAGTATAATTCTGATGGGACTTTTGAGAGATATAAAGCTCGATTGGTAGCCAAGGGATACACACAGACCTATGGCATTGATTACGAAGAAACATTTGCTCCAGTGGCCAAAATGAACATTGTAAGAGTTTTATTGTCCCTCGCTGCTCATTTTAGTTGGGATTTGAATCAATTTGATGTGAAAAATGCCTTCCTCAATGGTGAATTAGAAGAGGAGGTTGACATGGAGATTCCTCCAGGATTTAACTCTACAAATGGAGATAATAAAGTTTGCAGGTTAAAGAAGGCGTTGTATGGCTTGAAGCAATCCCCGCGTGCTTGGTTTAGAAGATTTACCAAAGTCATGCTTTCATTGGGAGACAAGCAAAGCCAAGGGGATCATATACTTTTCTTTAAACATTCTCAGGAAGGTAAGATCACTATCCTTCTAGTTTATGTTGATGACATTATTATAACAGGGGATGATATAGGTGAGAAATGTGCTCTGAAAAAAGACTGACTGCTGAATTTAAAGTTAAAGATCTTGGAAAACTGAGATATTTTCTTGGGATAGAAGTTGTTCATTCAAAGCAAGGGATATTTATTTGTCAAAGGAAGTATGTTCTTGACTTCCTTAAAGAAGCAGAAAAACTTGGGTGTAAACCTTCCAGTACTCCGATTGAGTAGAATCACAGACTAGGAAGTGAAAATGAGAGCGTTCCAATTGACAAAGGACAATATCAACGAATAATGGGCAGATTGATATATCTAGCTCATACTAGACCTGATCTAGCTTATGTAGTTAGTGTTGAACAGGATTCTCCAATATCTGAAAGGCACACCAGGTAGAGGATTATTGTTCCAGAGAGGAGGAAACTTATCCTTAGGAGTTTATTCAGACGCCGATTATGCTGGATCCGTGACTGACCGACGGTCTACTTCGGGCTATTGTATGTTTCTCTGTGGAAATCTTACAACATGGAGAAGTAAAAAGCAAAATGTGGTTGCTAGATCAAGTGCAGAAGCATAATTTCGAGCTATGGTTCAAGGTATCTGTGAGTTATTATGGCTGAAAATCATTATAGATGATCTCAAGGTGAGATATGAAGGATCTATGAAGTTACTTTGTGATAACAAGTCAACTATTTGTATAGCCCACAATCCAGTTCAACACAATCAAACCAAACATATTGAGATTGATCGCTGCTTCATTAAAGAGAAATTAGATAGTGGACTGATCACTACTCTATATATTCCTTCTGGTCGTCAATTGGCTGATGTCTTAACAAAGGGTCATCCTAATGATAGATTTCAAAAACTTATTACCAAGCTAGGAATGATAAATATCCATTTCTCAGCTTGAGGGGGAGTATTGTAAATAATAGAATTATTTTATTGTTATTTTGTAATAGTTAGAACACTCTATAAGTGTATTTGGGCTTAGCCCATTAGGTTTTTTAGTTTCTTTAAATAGAGAACTCTTGTACAAATATTATACAATTCAATAATATACAAATCTTCTTTTCTAGTAATGTTACTAGAAAAGAATGATGTAGCATGTGTATAGCTTGTAGGTTATATTACTTTATCTGTAATGTTAGCGTGGAAGTATATCTTGTTTTATGCATAATAACATGGGTTCCTACATTTTTACAATAAAGAGAAAGGAATGGCGCACAATTTAGTTGACTATCTTAATCATACAGTTTAAGGAGCCCTGTCAGAGAGACTGAAACTGGCTGTAATAACCTTACAATTGAGTTCCACTACTGCAATTATTCATGGAGATTAAAGAACAATGAAAATGAATGAGAAATTCTAGTAAAATAAATATTTGGTATTTTGGTTATAAATTAGGGAAGTAATTTGGGATTATAAAGCACTTGCTTTTATGCATAGAACTCAAGCTGGATAAGTAGTTGTGCATTTGAGTAATACGCTAATATTTTGAGCTCATTTTTCTAGGGGTAAAAGTATGAGTACGATGTGATGTTTAGATCTATTGACATCTCTTATATGGTACACTATAAATGACATGTCAATCGAATGATGTAGCATGTGTATATGCACCACATAGGCCACGAACTGCAGTTGAAGTATCTGGTTAGGATTTAAAATCCCCGGAATTCTGTGTGATAGAAACACATTTTGAACTGACCTGGTCTAGATATTTTCAATTTTATTCTTGAAGAAGAAACGCTGTGCTTTATAATTCTGTTAATACTCAGATTGCAGTTTATTTGTTGGCCGAGTTATTACTGGTTGTGATATATACTGTTGAGTGAATGTAACTTAGTGTGCATCTAAATCAGTTGACTACGTGGGTTGATATTTTTAGTTGTTGATGTTTAATCTTTCAAGTACAGATAATATTAATTTGCGAGATAGTATAAAATGTTAAGTGAAATATAATACTAATTCTAGGACACTCTTGTGTTTATTCGGTATTTTGCATGTTTAGATTCTGATAGTTTCTTTCTTGCAGATAGAAAAGCATGGCATAATTATTGAATTTTCTGATCCTGACTCTAATACAAGGAGAAACGCCACGTACCTGCCTGAAGTGGCTGCTAATGAAGGTAACTTATGCTCCCTATTGAATATTGTTTTCACATTTTGGGAAATGAAATGAGAGCCACCAGATTGAGATGCCACCAATTAGAAGTTGTCATAAATTCCACTCCCCCTCCTGCTCACGTCTCCAATAGTGAGAAAATTCACCAGAAAGAAAGGAGGGAAAGTTCTTGTTAAGAACCTCGAGGTCACCACCTCAAAAGCTAGCTCAAAGGGTGGGAGTGCCCAAGACCTTATAAACTCCACATTAGTTGCACATACAATCAATGTGGGACTATATATCTCAACACGCCCCCTCACACGAGAGCCCATTGGGCTTGAAGAGTGGACAATGCAACAAGCTCAGCCTACTTGTGCTAAGAAACGCCACAAGAGAAAGTGGGGGGGCGGCGAGGCTCTGATACCATGTTAAGAACCTTGGGATACACCACCCCAAAAGCTAACTCAAAGGGTGGGAGTGCCCAAGACCTTATAAACTCCACATTAGTTGCACATACAACCAATGTGGACTATATATCTCAACAGTTCTCAATAAGGAAGATAAAATATCCTCCAGAACAAAAAGTAAAACATCAGTGAACCAAATAATAATAATAATAAATTAACTACAGCAAAGCTACCAAATCTCTATATGAAATTTTAACTACCTCAAAGTAGCCACCAAAGAGAGGCCATGGATACAATTCTTACACCATAGTAAGTTGAGCAACATGCCATGCTTCTTATGGCTAGGGTTTACTTCCAAGAGTATGGAAGAATTTTTAGGCAGAGAAACACCATCATATACTGAAGCATTTCATTCTGACCAAATGCCAAAGGACTTTATAAACCACACATTGCCACAAAAATATTGTTAGAACCCATTTGCAAGGTATGGGACTTGGAGTCCCACATTGGTTGTATAGGCAATTAATGTGGAGTTTATAAGGCCTTGGGCACTCCCACCCTTTGAGCTAGCTTTTGGAGTGGTGCATCCCACCCTTTGATCTAGCAAGTGACATTGACATTGTAGTGTTCCCCTAGGGCTAGTAAAAAGACTAGCGCAAAGCTACTCCGCGTGAGCGCCGAGGCTGCGGAGTGTGATGGAATGTTAGGATCCATTTGCAAGGTATGAGACTTGGAGTCCCACATTGGTTGTATAGGCAACTAATGTGGAGTTTATAAAGCTTTCCCTTTGAGCTAACTTTTTGGGTGGTGCATCCTAAGGTTCTTATCATATTGCCTTCTTTTTTTGTCTAAGCCTTTATATGCAATCATCAAAACACCCAATGCAAACTAAATACCCCAAACAATTATAAGAAAGTAGCCACCTTACATTGTAAGAAACAAGTGCCCGACTATTTATTAACAATGCTATTAGATTCTTTTAACACATGTAATTATCACATAGCTTATGCTTAAAAACATGTAATTATGAACAATGCTACTAGATTCCTTTAATACATGCTATTCTCTGAGCTAGCCTTTTTTTTTAATATTTTTTAAAGCAACCTCTACCCTCGCAAGGTCAGGTTTATATTTTTTTAAAGCTATATTTTCTGTTATTAGTTGGTCGAGGAGCTATATAAATTGGAATAGGCAAAATGGAACATGGGAAAGAAATATTAAGATTATGTGAATATATTATATTTATAGGTGTCGGGAATGTACTATACTTTATCCTCCGCAAGTTGTTGGTTATTATTATTATTTTGGTTCTTTATGATTTAGTTTGGCCTCTAATATTCCTACATGCATGGTTTGGCGCCTTTATTTTGCAATTGGAAATGTTATCAGAGTCTCACTACTCTCCCGTTTTTCTCTTCTCTCCCCATTTCTTTCTTTAGATTCTCTCTCTTTTCTTCTCCAATTCTGCTTTTCCTTCATTCTGGTTTTCTGTTCATTCGTATTGGGTTCTAAGAAGAAATTTCTTCCACGTGTATTCCTGTTATATTGAGGAGAGGTAAGCTAAGGCAAGTTTTATAGACAATTTGGTTAATAATGACATTTTATAACAGAATAACTACGAGTCTTATAGGAACCTGCATAACAACCACTTTAAGTTAACCTAAGTACCCAACTTGTGGTTATGTTCCATTTTTAGAGTTGCGCTTGTATTTAATATTTTGAACAACTGCATGGTGGTCTTATAACCGTTGTCTACTGGAATTCATTAAACAAGTTTTTTTCTATAAATTTTATTAATTAAAATTTGTAAAGAGGATGAGCGTAGAGCTGTGGTAAAATTGTTTCTTAATAATTTAAAGGTTACACAGGTTTGAATCCGAGAACAGCCTCTTTGGAAATATGCAACTATGAGACTGCGTACAAGAATTGTCTTCATTCCTATTTTCACAAGTTGGGATTTAATGGAGAGTGATTAATATACCCAAGATCTTCCATATTTCTCATTCTTAGGGTGCCCACTAATTGCTTCATTTTATTGTGAAAAAGGGTGGAAAGTAACATGCATGGTATATCTCTATTTACTTCGGTTTCAGGTTGGACTAAAACAGAGGCTATTGACTCTCTCATACGTAAAGCAGGCTACAATGGTCCAATAATCGAATCTCTCAGGAAACAATTACGGCTAACCAGATATCAAAGCACCTTATTTACCATGCATTATAGTGAATACGTTTCCTATGTGAAGGAGACAAGAGGTGAAGCTCCTATTCTTGAAGCTAAGTCACACAACTACTGAATTTTGCAGCCACCTTTTCTTAAAGCTGCACCTATAGTTTATTTGCTAAAAGAAAGAATTCTATTGACAAAAGAAATAGAAAAATGAAAAAGACAACCTATTTGCCTTGGGTTGGAACCATTTTGTTTGTCCAACTTGAACTACTGAAGTGATTGGTGCAACTCTTTATATTCTTCACATTCATGTGATTTTGAAGAAATTAGGAACATTGAACTCAGATTCTCTGAGTGTCCTATAAATCATTCAATTCAGCAATTTATGAAAACTGCAACACTGTTCAATAGTTTTATGTCACTCTGATTGATAACTGGAAACTCAATCTGTCTCTCTCTCTCTCTCTCTCTCTCTCCAATGTAGATAAATATATCAATTTGTTTTCCATGGAGACAGATTTGAACTTTGTGACAACTCAGCAGATTGAGTTGCTTAGCAATCATAGTTTGGAAGAACAGAACAGAACAGAACAGAACATTCTTTTGGCCCAGTAAATTAGATTTTTCTGATTTGTATTGAAGAAGAAACAAATTATAATAAGCAAATGAGACAAAAACGAAATAGAGAAGATAAAACTATTACAATGAAAATATCTACAAATTGCGTAAGTAAAAAGGAAAACAATGAACAGTCGAAGTGCACAGCACATTCGTGATGTGCGTTCTCTGTGAAGTCCAATTTCAATTCCAGCCTCCTTTTTTCTTTCCCCCTTTCTCTATTTATTCCCACTTCCTGCAGGGGTTGTTGTTCCACGTTGCTAACAACACCTTCCATCACACCTTGTATAATATTCTTTTTAATAAATTTGCTAACTCAGCATTATAAAATGATTCTCTGCACCTTTTCCTTCTTGATAATAATCCACTTATATTGCTAATATCCTATCAATACTTCTCCCTCAAACTGTTACCTTGTCCTCAAGGTGGAGGTTAACTATCAAAAACCTTCCACTAGGACCCATTACTTGAATTACAAGAGCTAATTTGTGTGCAGTGCAATATAACTTTCACCCGAATCCCATTGCTCATCTTCAATGCCTATATTCATGATGTAACTTACAGAAACTAGAAAAACACAAGAATAAGATTCACACAAAGAAATAATGGCATTGTTCATGGCAGTCCCTTCCCCGTGGCAGCATACATCCAAAATTCCTTGTCATATGCTTCAAGTAAGGATGGAAGATAAGAATCATAAACTCCACCCCATTGCTCGGCCACATCATCAAAAACCCTTGAAAACCAATCATTCACCTTGCTTTGAGGCATTTTATCAAACACCTTTTGATCTATAACCATTTCCTTGGATGACACTTGCATCAATAAAGCCCCCAAAATAGAATAGGATGCATCATCTTCAATATAACCAACCCAAAACTTAAGATGAGCCCAACAAAAAATAAATAAATAAAAAATCCATGCACTGCTGACCTGTTACCCAAGCCAATGTTCCCTTCTTTTAATGTGAGAAGATGAATGGCAACAGGGCCTATATTACCTGGCCTATATTACCTTCCACAGTAGTTTATGGAGTGAGTACCTGAACTAATCTTCTCATAACAACAATGTTAGCGTCTCTTGCTTTTGCTTCTTCAGATGTTTCCAATGGCTCTACATGTCCCATCTTATATCCCCACTCAACTAGGTTTTGAACAGTATCATCAATCAACACCTGACTCCGCCATGGAGTGGAGATGACAACGCTTCATTTGTCATGGAAGTAGTTAAGAATATGGAATAATATAAATGTTGTATATTGTGTATTGTATTCAACTGTGTATAAAACTGTATAAGAGTTCTCTATTTAAAGAGGTTAAATGACTTAATGGGCTAAGTGCAAATAACCTTCTAGAATAATAAAATAATAATAATAAAATACAATACTATTTCTAACACTCCCCCTCAAGCTAGTGTGTATATATCATAAGCTCCTAGCTTGTTACATATATGATCTATTTGGGAACCATTAAGAGCCTTGGTGAAAACATCTGCAAGTTGATCATTGGAATTGACAAATGTTGTCTCGATCTCTCTGACTGAATCTTCTCTCTAACAAAGTGATGGTTAATTTTTATATGTTTGGTTGTCTCATAAAAGACTGGGTTAGAGGATATTGTCACAAATGAGTTTCATGGGCCGTTGTTCATAGAGATGTAGTTCCTTAAGCAATTATTTCAGCCAGATGAGCTCACAAGTTGCATTTTCCATTGCTCAATATGCTGCCTCTGCACTTGACCTAGCGATCAGTTTGTTTCTTACGCTTCCAAGAGATCAAATTTCCTCCGAGGAGAACACAATACCCCAAGGTAGATCGTCTGTCTGAAGGAGAACCTGCCCAGTCAGCATCTGAATAGCTAAACACCTCTTCATTCCCTTTATTTTTGTATAATAAACCTCTTCCTAGTGCTCTTTTGATATATCGAAGAATCCTGATAACTACATCTCAATAAGAGTCATAAGTAGAGTCAAGAAATTGGCTTGCCACGCTAACTGCAAAAGAGATGTCCGACTTTGTCAAAAGAGATGTTATTCCCAATGGCTCTACATGTCCCACCTTATATCCCCTTTCAACTAGGTTGAACGATATCATCAATCAGCACCTCACTCCGTCATGGAGTGGAGATGACAACGCTCCATTTGTCATGGAAGTAGTTAAGAATATGGAAAAATATAAATGTTGTATATTGTGTATTGTATTCTGTTAGAAATAATATTAATTTATTATTATTAGAATAGTCTAGAATAGTCTAGATTGTGGGCTTGGCCCATTAGGTCATCCCATTAGGTCTTTTAGCCTCTATAAATAGAGAGCCTCCTTGTACATACTTACATACTTGAATATACAATATATTTCAGATTCAATTTGGTATCAGAGCTCTCGATCTAAGGGCTCTGCTTCCGCATATATATCTTTTCCTTTCTTTTTACTGCCGTGCATCATACCGGCAACCATCCTTTCACACCTAACCCTTATTTAGTCACAAGTTTCTTGTCCTCAACCTCGTATCATCTAGAAAAAGATCGTCAGCCTCCGTTCATCGCCGGAAACCGCCACAAAACCACCGTCCGCCACTGTTCACCGCTGTCAAACTGCTTTTTCGGCGACTTTTCCGACCAACCACCACGCGATCAGGAGCGGCTCAGGGAGGCGACCCTGTCTGTCCAAGCCGCGTGTTGATCGGAGCATCCACGCGCCGCCACGCGCCGGTGGAAGTCTCCGGCGGCCGAACCACTGTTCCGGCGCGTGAGCCACCGTCCGGCCACCGTTCCAGGCCGGACCACCACCATCTTGCTCGCCTCCTCACCCTCTTTCCAGATCTGGTCTCCGCTAGTTGTGGGTCCCATCCGTTTGAAAGATATCAGTGAAAAACCCGCTGTTTGGACACTTTTGTGCAACGTTTTTGCGCGATTTCTTGCTTTCTTGTAGTTCTTTGCTATTTTCTGGTCATCTCCTTTTATTTTGTGATGGAGGGCTCAAATAATGCGTCCAAAAACACGACTGACATCATCTCCAGTACTACCCCATCTCCATTCTTTTCTCGGGCCAGTGATTCCAATTGGAACAGTGGACGCGGTCGCAGACGTGGCCGCAGACAGAGGCCTCGTTGCAATTATTGCCAGAATCTTGGGCATTTTGAAGAACGCTGCTATAGGAAGTGATGACATTATCATTACAGGCAGTGATCAGACCGGGATTGATCAGTTGAAAGAGCATTTATTCAATCAATTTCAGACCAAAGATCTTGGCAGACTTCGATATTTCTTGGGGATCGAAGTTGCACAGTCTAGGCGGGGCATTTCCATCTGTCAGAGGAAGTATGCACTGGATATCCTAGATGAGACTGGCATGTTAGGCTGTAAACCCATTGATACACCTATGGATCCCAATGTTAAGTTATTACCAGGACAGGGGGAGCCACTGCCAGATCCTAGTCGCTACCGCCGACTAGTTGGAAAATTGAATTATCTTACTGTGACAAGGCCAGATATCTCCTTCGCAGTGAGTGTTGCAAGTCAATTTCTTGATTCTCCCTGTGACTCCCATTGGGATGCAGTTATTAGAATTCCCCGATATATTAAAAAGGCGCCAGGAAGAGGTTTATTATATACAAATAAAGGGAGTTCAGAGATCTCTAGTTATTCAGATGCTGACTGGGCAGGTTCTCCTTCAGATAGACGATCCACCTCAGGGTATTGTGTTCTCTTCGGAGGAAATTTGATCTCTTGGAAGAGTAAGAAGCAAACTGTGGTCGCCAGATCCAGTGCGGAGGCAGAATATCGGGCAATGGCAAATGCAACTTGTGAGCTCATCTGGCTGAGTCAATTGCTGAAGGAACTCCATCTCTGTGAACAAAGGCCTATGAAGCTCATTTGTGACAACCAAGCCGCTTTGCATATATCCTCTAACCCAGTCTTTCATGAGAGGACCAAGCATATAGAAATTGACTGTCATTTTGTTAGAGAAAAGATCCAGTCAAGGGAGATTGAGACAGCATTTGTCAATTCCAATGATCAACTTGCGGATGTATTCACTAAAGCTCTTAGAGGTCCCCGAATAGATCGTATTTGTAACAAGCTGGGAGCTTTTGATATATACGCACCAGCTTGAGGGGGAGTGTTAGAAATAATATTAATTTATTATTATTAGAATAGTCTAGAATAGTCTAGATTGTGGGCTTGGCCCATTAGGTCATCCCATTAGGTCTTTTAGCCTCTATAAATAGAGAGCCTCCTTGTACATACTTACATACTTGAATATACAATATATTTCAGATTCAATTTATTCAACTATGTATAAAACTGTACAAGAGTTCTTTATTTAAAGAGGTTAAGTGACGTAATGAGCTAAGAGCAAATAACCTTCTAGAATAATAAAATTATAATAATAAAATACAATACTATTTCTAACACTCCACCTCAAGCTGATGCGTATATATCATAAGTTCCCAGCTTGTTACATATATGATCTATTTGGGGACCTATAAGAGCCTTGGTGAAAACATCTGCAAGTTGATCACTAGAATTGACAAATGCTGTTTCGATCTCTTCTGACTGAATCTTCCCTCCAACAAAGTGACGGACAATTTCTATATGTTTGGTTCTCTCATGAAAGACTGGGTTAGAGGATATTGTCACGAATGAGTTTCATGGGCCGTTGTTCACATAGATGTAGTTCCTTAAGCAATTATTTCAGCCAGATGAGCTCACAAGTTGCATTTTCCATTGCTCAATATGCTGCCTCTGCACTTGACCTAGCGATCACAGTTTGTTTCTTACGCTTCCAAGAGATCAAATTTCCTCCGAGGAGAACACAATACCCCAGTTTGAAGGAGAACCTT